GAGCTCAGTGGCTCAGGCCTCGGGGGCTGCGGTCCTCCTGGGGCACAGGGGTCGAATTGCTTGGGGGTGTCCTGAAGTCAGCAGGTCCAGTCACAGTGCAGTCCCTGGAATGACAGCCTCTACACGCACCGATGACCAAGCCTATTAGCCCCACAGCTAAAGCTGAAAGATGTCTAACTTCTCGAGTTCCGTCAGCTGCCCTGAGCTGTGTGCAAAGGCAGGGCAGGCGTCCTGGGGGACCCAGGGCGCAGCGGACTGACTCACCCTTTCTCAAGCACCAGCTCCTCCCAGAATCTTCCCCGTCTTCAGTGACCGCAGCTCCTACCGTAGCACCGTCCAGGCCAGAATCCTTGGGAAATTCTCAATTCCTCCTCCCCACTCCCCCACCTCTGCTCCGTCAGCAAATCCTGACGCCCTCAAAACATAGCCAGAGCCTGACCAGTCTCCATGCAGCTCCGAGTCACCTAGCATCACCTCCCACCACCGCCCCCCCAGACCCCGCCTTCCCCCAAGGTGACCTTGCAAGGTCAGCAGGGTGGGAGCAGCCCTGGCCTCCTTCCCACCGCTTCCTCTCTCCCTGCCCACAGCAGCCCTAACCCTACGCGTGGGCCCAGCCCAGACCCCCACGGACAAGCTGGGCTACACCCGCCCAGGCCCAGGGCGAGCTTGTGAAATTTCCCGGCACCCTTTTCTGGGCTCTGCATCTGCGTTCCTCAGATTGCTTCCAGTCGTTGGTCAGCAGATGTGGCCAAGTCACTCATCCCAGCCCCGTCATAGACGGGACAGGGAGTGCGGTGATGAGCCCCTCCGGGGGAGCCCAGGACTGGGGACTTGCATCATTCTAAAGCAATCTCTTTCCACCTCCCCAGTAGAAACCAGTCGGGACCTAGTCCCCTTCCTTGGGTCACCACCACCAGCCCGCCCGCCCTGCCCTTGTCACAGCTCCGGATCTAGCAACATCTCTGTGGTGGGCCCCTCAGCCTGGCCGCCCTGCGCGTGGGAAGGGCTCTGGGCTGGGCTTGGGATGGTGTGAGAGGGGAGGACCTTGTCTTTCGAGGAATCACTGGAGGAGACATTCTGCACAGGTTGGCTTCATCGAGTGCTGGGAATGGCTGTTGCCACGGCAGCAGGGCCTCCCACTGCCGCAGGGGATGGTGGGAAATTCAGGGGCCGGGAAAGGAAGGGAAATGAGCCACAGAGGGAGGTCGTATTAGGGAGGGTCCCAAAGGTGCAGGTGCCAAGGTGGCTATTTCGAGGCACGACGGCGTGGCCGCGGCATGACCCTTTGGACAGTGGCAGGGAAGGTGACCTGTGCACAGGGAAGACGGGCACTCGAGGCCCCCACTGCATCCGCTCAGGAGATGGCCATGCTTTCTGTCTCATACAGTGATGGGTGATGATCTGTGCGGAAGGGGATGTGGGGTTTGGAGGGCGCGGCGGGGCTAGTGCCTCATTCTGGAAGAGGTGGGATTTCAGGAGCTGCGCTTTGAAGGACGGGAAAGGACTTGGGGCGTGTGACGTCCCTGGAGAGGAGGCACAGAGGAATGAAGGCATGAAGAGAGGGCGCGGGGGTCAGATGACCAGGAGGAGAGGAGGGTCAGGTCCCCAGGCAGGGGCATCCGGGGGCAGGATGCACAGGTGCAAGTGGAATGTGTCTCCTACTGTCCCACAGGAGCGAACCCACAGCCGAGTCCACCCCAGGAGAGGGCGCTGGGTCATGCCCACGCGGGTCCTGCGTACGCGGCACACACCGGTGACCTGACCTTTGGGCCAGAGGGCAGCCTGCTCCTTCCTCCTTGTCTGCAAAGGGCAGATGGATTTACGTGCAGGAAAAGACCAGGTTACGACGAGCAAGAACCAGTGTCGCTGGTTCAGAGACCCACTGTCCCCAGGTCTCAGCTGCTCATTCTGGGAAAGGTTGGCCGCCCTTCCTGTTGGGTTACGTGTGTGCAGATTGGAGAACGGTCTCGCCGTGAGGATGAGGACTTTGGAAGTGGTTGTGATCTCATTTAAAGTGGGAGGGCCTGGCCTGGTTGGTGTGGCTCAGTGGTTGAGTGTCGTCCTGTGCACCAAGATGTCACCAGTTTGATTCCCCGTCAGGGCACATGCCTGGATTGTGGGCTCGATCCCCAGCGTGGGGCACGCAGGAGGCGGCCAATCCATCTACGTTGATGTTTCTTTCTCATCAGTGTTTCTGTCTCTCTCTCCCTTTCCCTTCCTCTCTTCTCTCTAAAATCAATAAAACATATATATATATATATATATTTTTTTTTTTTATCCTCACCCGAGGACATTTTTCCAACTTTTGTACAGATAGAGTGGGAGGGAGAGAGAGGAAGGGAGAGAGAGAGAAACATCGACGTGAAAGGGACACATCGAGTGGCTGCCACCCGCACGACCAACCAGGGCCGGGGACAAACTGCAACCGAAGTACATGCCCTTAGCGGGAACTGAACCCGGGTCTCTCCGGACCGCAGGCCGATGCTCTAACCGCTGAGCCAAACCGGCCAGGGCAATAAAACATATTTTTAAAAAGTGGTAGGGCCTGGTTACCCAGAGTTCAGCACGGATGATGGTGTCGAGTTCTTCCTTGAGCCAGGATCTTGTGTTCGGGTACGGGCCAGGGTACCTCAGGTGCTCACAGAGGAAGTCTCCGGGTTGGCCTCCTCCTCTGGCACTCCCTGTGCCCAGGTCATGTTGCGGCAGGTACCACTCAGTCTCTTGAACCAGATCTTTACAGCTTGTCACTTGCTATCACCAACTCTGACTCCACCTGTGAGCGTCCTAAGGGCCGGACACAGCCCCAGGGCCGTGCTGACTCCCCCCAGGACCTCTGGCAGATGCTGCTCCCGGCTCCTTCCTGCACTCCTTGGGCAGGTGTGAGTGGAGGCGCCTCCTGCTTCTGCTCTCCTGGTCTGAACCTTCCGACACCCCACCCCCACCAGCACGGCCTCTTACTCCTGCATTCCCGTGTGCAGGGTCTGCTGAGTACGGTTGGTTTGCTGCAGTCGGTGGGACAGCCAGGGCCTGCTCTCCAGTCACCAGGCCCCTCTGGTCATTCCTGCACTGAGACCCACACCTGCGTCTTACCTGTGATGAACGTGTTGATGCGCATGGCACTGCTTTTCCCTGGGACAGGATTGTCACTTCCCTGGGCCTCGCGTTGTCTTTCTTATATCCTCTGGCCCACACTGACGCCCTGCGGGCAGACTGTATCCCCAAGGCCCAGTCAAGGGTCCACGCTCTTTACCCAACACCCCTCTCTCTGCTTGAGAACTCCCTGTTCCCGATGCTGTGGGGAGCACAGCCTCTCTGCTGTGACCCCTGTAACTGCAGATGTGATGGTCTCTCGACCCGGGCCTGGGGTTATGGAAGGTGGAATCTCGGGGATACCATCAGGACCCAGAGTCGCACAGGGTACAGACCTAACTTCCGGCACCCAGGTCTCCACGTGCTGCAGCCCCCCCATGCAAGGTGCTGAGGCAGCTCTGGAGGCAGAAGCCCAGGTGCTGGTCAGGGGACACTGCAGCCCTCATGCCCGGCCGGCCGTGTGGATTAGCGCTGGGACAGTGGTGGACCAGACACACGGGCTCTGCGGGTTCGAGGCCAAGGGGAGAGAGGGCCCAAGGTCGAGGGTGGGGATGCGGCCGATGATTGGTGATCAGTGTGCCTGGCTCAGGGGGTTAGGACCGGGGCCTGCCCCTCCTTGAGGGAGCTGACTTGGGAGGCCATGGGAGGGTGGGCATTGTCCCTTACTGACGGACGGACAGCCCTGGACACGTTGCTGCCTGCTCCGTCCGCCCCCTTCCCTGGGCCCAGGTGGAGGGAGGGAGGAGGGCTAGGTCAGCAGCCCCGCAGTGGCTCTGGCAGGCAAGGCCCCCCCTGCCTCTCCCACCTCTCAGGTTAGACAGCCCTTCAGGTCCCAAGTTCCCCAGCTGTGCCGCCACCGGAGAGAACACGGAGCCCAGGGCGCAGGGGCTTGAGGTGCCGCAGTCGGTTAGAACCGGCGCCCAATCTCCTGACCCCAAGAATCAGCCGATTTCTTCAATGTGCTGATACCACTCCGCCCCCCACCCCGCCCTGTTCCCAGTCAACCCTGAGCCCTGTCTCTCCAGACCACAGTCCTCAAGAGAGCGACCTTGTGCCTCAGAGACTGAACGAGGTGGACTGAGAGTCTCCTGGGGTAACCAGAGGTTGGGGGTGGGGGTCAGGGAAGCAGCGACCTGGATTTGACTTCCCACCCCTTCCAGGTCTCAATCCCTTTTACCTGTACCCCCACATCTCCTTGGCAGATCCTTTCCATACCCTCCCCCACTCCAGGCACGGGGGAGCCACCGGTGCCCCTCGGAGAGCCTCTTCTGTCTCTGAGTCCAAAGCAGGAGAAAAGCTGGTCTCATCCGCACCCGTTATCTGCCCCCTCAACTCCCGTACCCCTACTCATCTTCATCGCCCCTGAATCTGCTGCAAATACCACCCCCTCTAAGCCAGAAATAGACACACAGCCCTCTCCCCCACCTCCTTCCCTCGCGCGCACCCCCCCCTCCCCGGTTGCGCCGCCTCCCCTCCCTCCTGCCTCACTTGGAGCCGCAGCCGCAGCCCCTGCTCCACCGGGCAGGCTGGTGGAGAAAGGCGGGGTGCTGCACTGTGCTCCCCAGGACCCCCGGGGGCGGGGAGTGGCAGGCGGGGACGGCCTTCGGGGCTTTCATTCTTCCTTTGATTGATTTTTACATTTTAATTTGTATTTCCTCGCCTGCCCCGTTTCCTCCACCCCGCCCCTCGCTCCCCGGTTCCTCGCTCTTTCCTTTCCCTGGCTCCCTTCCTTGCGTGTCTCCCCTGCGCCCTTGCTCGGCTTGCTCTCTGCCTCCGCCCTCCGCCCTCCCCCTTCCTCTCCCTTCTTCCTCGGTTTCTTCCGTCCTTTCTCTCCCCTCCCCTCCCCCGCCTGCCTCCTCCTCCCTGCGCTCCCCCGCCCCGTGCCTGCAGACGCGCGGATCGTCCATGCGCTCCTCGCGGGCAGAATGCTGGGCAGCAGCGTCAAGAGCGCGCAGCCCGAGGTGGAGCTGAGCGGCGGCGGCGGCGACGAGGGCGCGGACGAGCCCCGGGGCTCGGGGAGGAAGGCGGCGGTGGACAGCAGAGGCATGCTGCCCAAGCGCGCCAAGGCGCCCGGCGGCTGCGGCAGCAGCGGCATGGCCAAGCCCAGCGCGGCTGAGCTGAAGGTCTTCAAGTCTGGCAGCGTGGATGGCCGCGTCCCCGGCGGGCCACCCACCTCCAACCTGCGCAAGCAGAAGTCACTCACCAACCTGTCGTTCCTGACGGACTCGGAGAAAAAGCTGCAGCTCTGTGAGCCGGAGTGGAGCGACGACATGGCCCGGGCGCCCAAGGGCTTGGGCAAGGTGGGGTCCAAAGGCCGGGAGGCCCCTCTGATGTCCAAGACGCTGTCCAAGTCGGAGCATTCGCTCTTCCAGGCAAAAGGGGGCTCAGCCGGCAGCGCCAAGACCCCCCTGGCTCCGCTGGCGCCCAGCCTGGGGAAGCCCAGCCGCATCCCGCGCGGCCCCTATGCCGAGGTCAAACCGCTGAGCAAGGCTCCAGAGGCAGCCGTCAGCGACGATGGCAAGTCGGACGATGAGTTGCTCACTAGCAAGGCCAAGGCCCAGAAGAGCTCCGGGCCTGTGCCCTCTGCCAAGGGCCAGGAGGAGCGCGCCTTCCTCAAGGTGGACCCCGAGCTCGTGGTGACAGTGCTGGGAGACCTGGAGCAGCTGCTCTTCAGCCAGATGCTGGGTGAGTCCCGCCCCACCCCACCGCCCCTGCGCTCTCCTTTCTCCTAACCAGCTGCAAGGGAAGGTGTGGGGGAAGCGCCCCTCCCGGAGGGGGGCTCTGGCTCGCAGGTCTGTCGGGAGGGAGGATTGCGCCCAGATGTGCAGGGCTGGCCCACCTCCAGAAGCCCAGGCTCAAGTGTGCCTTCTTAAAAATGTCACAGCAGGAAGCTGCTCTGGCCTGCCTGAGGTGAGGCTGGACAATGGGGTGGAGGGCTGTGGAGTCTTGGAAATAGAGCCCCTCGGCTTCTTAGAATCTTAAACCCCCGAATCCTAATATGGCAAAACCTGGGGCTGGTGGAGACAGCGGTGCCGGTCTGCGCTGGGTCGGCCCCCGACAGCGATCCTGCCTTGCGAGGGGAGCCGGGGAGAGCGGGGTCCGGAGGACACGTGTGCGGGGAGCAGATGTGAGGCTGCTCCGCCCGAGCAGCGCGGAGGCCCCACTTCCTCTGTGGATCCCTGGTGGGAGCAGGAGTCGGATATCCCGGGTGTGGGGGTTCTGGCAAGGGGACCCGTCTGGGGTGGGGGGGTGGGGGAGGCGGGCAGACAGCTGTGCGCATCTGGATGCTCGTCCTGTCCCTCCATCTGACTCTGGCCCAGACCCCAATCCCCCGGGTTTTGAGAGGACGTGGAAAGGTCTGGGCTTTCACGCCCAGCCTCGGGGTTGACTGTGCAGCCCGTGCGCTTGGGCTCTGCAAGCCGAGCCGGCGGGGAGGGAGGGACAAAGCTCCCTCGGGCGGAAGAAGCCGGGAGAGCGCTCCATTGTTCTCCGAGCCTGGAGTCTGCAAAGAGCCCGAGCGCCCGGCACCGCGCCGGCTGGCCCGGGGACCCCTTGCCGGAGAGGATGGAGGGTCGGTGCGGACCGCGAGGCTGCGGCGCCTCGGGAGCCCGCACGACCGCGCTGGGGCCGCCGGAGGCCGGCGCCGGCCTGGAGCCCAGGGGGCCGCCCCGGCTCTGAGGACTTGTTGCGGTGGCTGGGATGTGGGTCCTGGGCGCCGGGGACGAGCTTCCCGGGTACCAGGCCGGTGCCGCCCCCGGGGGCTGGGAAGGGGCGTGTCCGCGCCGTATGCGGGGGCGGGGCCAGCGCTGCGTCCGAGTGACGGGCTGGCGGAGGAGGGCGGGTGGGTTGGGCGAGGGGTAGCGCTCTGGATGGAGAATGCAGCGCAGGGGCGGGTTTGCCCTGCCGCAGTCTGCCCGGCCCCGAGTCCGGTGTGGGCCCGGATGAGCCCCTGACCAGGGGCGAGGATTCGGAGCCTCTCGGAGGGGCCGCACACTGGCTTTGCAGGGACAAGTGGGGATGGGGTTGCGGGTGCAGACCTGGTGACCTCAGGAGTGGGCCCATCCTGTGCGAGTGCCGGTAGTGGGGTGAGACGGACAATAAAGGAAAAGAGATCATTCTAGGCCCGGAGGACAGCGTGGGGCAAAGGAAGGGGACCTGGGTGGAGAGGGACTGAGGAGGGGGGCCTGCTTTGGGCCTCTGTCCGAGGCGATACTTGAATTGTGGCGAGGCCTGGGGAGGAGGCACCTGGGGGCTGGGAGTGGGGGGCTGGTTGGGCGGAGAAGGAGGCACCCACCATCTGCCTGGGGGGGTGCGGAATGGGGTGTCAGAGATGCAGACTGATAAGAGGGCACGGCTCTGTTTTCAAGGTCAGGCTTCCACTGTTGGGTATGACTTAGCTAATCAGCTGTCCCCAGACCTGGACGCCCCGGCTGCCCCCAGACCTGGCTGCCTTGGATGAAGCCGTCTTAGTTGCTTCTCAAGAGGCAGTAACCAAAGAAACCCCGACAAATGGTCCCCACGACGGCTGGGGAGGGGCTGAGCTGTGGTCCCCACTCCAGCTCAGCGCTGTCACCCCTCCAAGCCTGCGGCCGGGGAGCCTCTCAGCCACCTGGGAGATGAGGAGAGAAGACCTCCTCCCACTTCCTAGGTGGGGAAGGCAGGGCCGGAAGCTTCCCAGGGCCCTAGAAGGCAGTCGGGGTGGAAGGCAGATTCTGCCGGTCTCCTGAGCCCTCCCGTCAAAGCTCCCTCTGGGACACCAGATCGAGAGGGTAGGTTCGCGGGTAAAGAGGAGCCTCACCAAGGCCACCAGCCCTGCCCTGATGACCCCGTAGAGGGGTGAACTCTCTCATTGGGGGGACAGGGCTGGGAGGTCTGGCAACTTGCAGGCCTGTCTCTGGTGGGTGGGGACAGAGAGCGGGCTGATGGAGGAAGGGCCGGTACAGCGGATCCGTCTCTTAGAGCCCACAGAGGTGTGTTCCAGGTTGTCAGGCCTGGCCCTCTGGGGACAGGAGTGCTGCCTCGATGTCTCAGGGTGGCGGCTGTGGACACAGGGCGTTAGTTTCCCACAGAGTCTCCGAATCAGTTACACTCACTCCCTGGTATCATCCCAGTCCCAAGAAGCTGCCAAGACCCAGTTTCTGAGAGAGGGGGGTGAGGCAGCCCCAAGTAAGAGTCTTTCTGGAATAAACGGAAGAGCTGAAACCTGATCACCTCCTTCTCAGAAATCAGCTGGGGCCCAGATGGTCCGGGCGGCGCCCAGCCCCTTCCCTCGCTTCAGAAGCTGCCAAAATACTAGGGTCTCACTGGAGAACCCCAGAGACTTGGAGACGGAGGGGTGACTGCCCGAGGACGCGGGCCAGTTCCGGAACCAGATGCCTTTGGACCCGGCCCACAGGCACCGCCAGGCAGTCGGCTCCCAGAGCCGGAGCGGCCACCCCGGGCCCCCGTCTGGAAGTCCTGAGCTTTGTGTCCTCTTCTGGGACTCAGTTTCCCCATTTGTGAATGGCTTTTTCTCGCGGAGAGGGACTGGGGAGGGGTGCAGAGTAGGTGGTGGAACCTTGGAGAGGCCCCAGGCAGGCGGCTCAGGGAGAGCCTGTGTCAACACCGAACCGGTACATTCCAGCCCTGGCTACTCTCCCCACCTCCTCGGCCTGGGCCAAGGCTCCCCAAGCATGTCCGTCCACTAAGGCTCCCCAAGCATGTCCATCCACTCCGCAGGCGCAGCGTAGCGTCGTTTTCCCTCGCACCCTCCAGGCAAAGGGACCAGGCTGGCTGGGGAGGCAGCCAAGGTCAGGGTGTCAAGGAGCCCGTGGTGCTGAAGGTCCTGGTCCCACTTCCTCACAAAGGTGGCAGGACCCAGGGGAGGGGTTGCCATGGCAACAGTGAGGCCTCAGAGGAGGCAGGAAGATCTCCATTTCTAAGCCAGTTGTTGATGTGGGTTGGGGGGGTGAGGGAGGGGCTTGCACTGGAGGGCCCTGGGATGCTTTGCGGAGGGGAGGGAAGACGCGGTTTTGAACACAGTGTTTTCTTTCTGTTCCGTGCCCGGGGGGTCGAGGTGGTTAGGGTCACTGATGCTCAGAGCAGATGGGAGGTGTGCAGGCTCCCCCAGCACCTCGTTAGGGGCTCCACACCTGAGCCATCCGATGCTTCCCCTGGGGTCCCCGTGGCCTAGCAGGAGAGCGGGGCTCCCTGCTCGCCCCCTGACCACAGCTGGAGGACCTCTGCAGAATTCGGACTGAAGGAAGGTGGTGGCCCGTGTGTGGACAGGAGCTGGCTGGGGGACCTGCAGCTGGGCGGGGAGGAGACCGCGTGTTCTCAGCAGCTCGGAAAGTTCTCTCTCCGCAGGGCCCCGCCCGGGTCCGGCTCCTACCTTCAGGTGGAGCCTCCTTCAGATCCCAGACCCTGTCACAGGCCTCGGGCTCTGCTGCCCCAGGAGCGCTGGTGGGCGGGCAGGTCTCAGGGCAGGTGCTCTGCCCGGGGAGACGGTGCCCGTGGCACCCGAGGGCTTTCCCGCAGCGTAAACCAGCCCATGGAGAGATGGGCGTGGGTGGTGACAGGACCAAGTCACCTGAAGTCCTGGGGTGTTTTCCCTCACATTCCCCTCGTTCTGCATACGCCCCCCTGTCTGTTACTGTGACCTTCCCCAGGCCTAGGCTGCCTGCACCAGACTTTCTCTGCTGCCTACCAGTCTCCCCTTCGGCACCTGTCCCTTTGCACACACCGGCACCTCGCGACCTTGGACCCCGGGGCTCAAGGTGAGCCAGTCCTGGTGTCCGGGCTGAGAAGCCCCAAGAGTGCACACCTGCTGCTCAGCACTCCGCCATCTCCTCTGCACCTCACGGCGAGTCTCCCTGCACAGCCGGGCAGAGAAAGTCCCTCCTCCGCGTCCAATTCACCACGCCCTCGCCCTTCCCCGAATTCCACGGAGCCACATCATGGAAATCATCGGGCTGAGCCGCCCACCTGAATCCCGCTGTGGCACCACGGCAAGTGGGTGTTCTGTTTACACACTCCCAGTGACGGAGGGCTCACTACCTTATTTTCCTCGAGAGCACTCATTATTCGAAAGCCGGTGGAGCCCATATTCTGTCTCCTGGGAGTTTCCACCTGTGGGTCCAAAACCCGCCCCTGGATCCCCGCAGACACCACCACTGCCTCTCATGGACCCACTTCCGATGTTAGAGGCCAAACCGTGTCTTTTTTCCATCCCGTGTTTTCTTTTAAAATAAATCGTTGGAAGGAGGAGGAGCCGGACCTGTTCCCCTGGTCCCTGGGCCCAGTGTTGTCCAGCTCCCCCCAGGCCCCCTCCCTCCTCACAGTGTCTGCACCCCAGCACCCGGCTGAGTCTCCTCCTGGCCCTGCCGCTGTCCGCCCTCCGCCCGGAGCACCGTGCGAGCCGCCAGCCAGGGGAAGTGCGGCCACATGTTTCTCATCGGCGCTGGCTGACCTCCCACAGCCTGTTTGCATTACCCAGATGTGTTTGATGTTGCGGAGCCCGGCCTGCCTCTCTGCACAGGAAGGGCTGGGCCCTGGGCCGGCGCAGGAGCCCACACCCCTCCCACACCTGCCCCACGCTGCTGCTTCCGGGGACTGGCCTCCCGCAGGAGGAGAGCGGGGCCTCCTGGGTTCACTCTGCCGTTTCCAGGTGCATGGGTTCCTGCAGAGATCGGGGTGCAGACGGGGCT